GAATAATAGAGTTGGAAGGGACCTAGGAGGCCTAGAACTCCAACCACCTATACCATTTCAGACAAGTGACTGCCAATCTCTTTTTAAACGCTTCCAGTGATGAGGCACCCACAACTTCTGAAAGCAAGGTATTCCACTGGTTAATTGTTCTCACTGTTAGGAAGTTTCTCCTTAGTTGTAGGATGCTTCTCTCCTTGATTAGTTTCCATTCATTGTTTCTTGTCTTGCCTTCTGGTGCTTTGGAAAATATTACTAAGGTAATATAGTTATTTCAAAGTCAGTTCACTTAGGCTCAGTAGGCTTTCTTACAAGTAGAATTACATAAACTGCTTTTCTATAAAACTTCTAACAATTTAAAAAATACCTGCCTTTTAACCTTCAAAGATTAAAATAAAAACATAATTACATATTTTTTAAAAGGGTAAGCAATGATGTCAAATTCAGTCCATGACTCCTCAACATATAAAAAACAGTCCTTTATAACTTATATACTGTATATCTAACTAATGGTCATAATGATATCATCATGTATCTTGCAAGATTTGACAGTTTAAAAACATGTTGGTCATTTTTATTCTTAGTTTGTTTTTGTGTTTTTTAAACTATATTGTGGTCTTGTAATTGACAACTGAAGATTTGTCAAATACTGTACCTTAGGAGTGTCAAACTCAACTCCATTGAAGGCCGCATCAGAGTTGTGTTTGACCTTGGGGGTGGGGGGGCCAAGGTGGGCATGGCCAGATTGATATCACTCATGTGGGGGCACCTATGGTGGCCCAAGAGCTCTGCCAGCAAAAAAACAGACTCCTGAGCTCCATTTTCGGCTGCAACAGCCTCTTGCACTCCGTGTTTGCTAGCAAAGGGCTGCAGGGCACCCTTCCCAAGCTCTGTTTTCACTGACAGAGGCATAACGGACCAGCCCTTCGCTGTTCCTGTGTGGCTCCCGGGCCAGAACTAAGCATGGGCATTGAGTTATGATGCTGTACATCATAACAGCATATCTGAACTCCAAATTAACATCAACTGGCTTATGTGGTGCTCCTCACAAGTTTTCAGTAACATTAGAGTGGTCCTTGACATGGAAAAAGCTAGGAATCATTAGACTATAGTCTGTTTCGTTAGTTCATGATTTGGCTGGTTAACTGACAAATGCATGTAGCTAGGAAAATATGGACATTCAAATGATCATTATTTCCAAAATGTTGGTGCCTCTAGCACTGTCTCCTAGATACAACAGGCTACTTTATGCATTCCATTGCCATCTGATCCCACTAGTGATTGTTATTCCACTTACTGCATAGTTAGTTGCCAATTGAGCATAAAATTCTTCTGGAAAATGAGGAAACTCAGGGGAATATATGTCATAGTCATTAACCTTCAAACTGATATCGTTGTTTTGTTGCAAAAGGCTTACATGATTAGCTCTCTAAAAATGAAATTGTACCAATTATCTTATACGATCCTCACAAATTCGAAATAAGTGATTCAATCTTATTTTTATTTTGGAGAGAAGACAACTGAGGCTAGAATGGTTTATTAAATAAAACTGAAATAGATTTAAACTTTATCTTATCTTATCACAGCAACCAAAACCTGAGATCCTCAAAGAACTGAACAAATGTTTACCTATATTTACATTACAGAAACAAATGTAAAATATCTGAACTAATGAGATCTGTATCTTTCCTTAAGTATCCAATTTGCATTCATACGGTAAAAATTTATTGCACGGTAAAATACATTAAAAATAACTGCTTCCCACCCTCCCAAGCTGACAGTACTTTTTACATTTAGGCATTTAAAAATAGTAGCTATGTTGGGATGCACCTTTTTATAGCTTGCAGGGGTTTTTTCCCCCCTTTAACAATGACTTTTGTTCCTTTTATTATTGCTTTTTGTAGGTGTATTACAATCTGAATTGTGTTGCTATGGAAAATATTTGGTTATTTTCTTTGAATGCAGAAGTATGTAACTGTACCCTCTGGGTAAATCAATTCCATGTTTTCTTTCTCTTAATCATTGGTATACTCTAAAGGTTGGGCACTAAACTCCCGATTGTGAGATGATGTGGCATATAAATTTAATTTTTTTCGAAATATGTGGGCTGTTCTCATGGAGTTCTTTAACCCCGAATTCATTGGGTCTAACCAGTAACTGTTTAGGTGACCTAGCCAGAATGGAATCTTTCAGTTGGGGACTATTTTAGGAATTTGGGGGTCGGGCTATGCCACATATACAGGTAGTCCTCAACCTACGACCGCAATTGAGCCCAACTTTTATGTTGCTAATCGACACATTTGTTAGATGAATTTTGCCTCATTTTATGACCTTTCTTGTCACAGTTGCTAAGTGAATCACTGCAGTTGTTAAGTTAGTAATATGGTTGTTAAATGAATCCGTCTTCCCCATTGACTTTATCAGAAACTCACAAAAAGTGATCACATGACCCTGGGACACTGCAACAATCATAAATAAGAGCCAGTTGCCAAACCTCCTAATTTAGATCATGTGACCACAGGGATGCTGCAACAGTCACGTGGGAAATGGTCATAAGTCATTTTTTTTTCAGTACCATTGCAACATAAAAATGGTCACTAAACAAACTGTTGTAAGTCGAGGATTACCCATGGAGGCATCAAGTATAATTCATCAGACTGAACTCTCCTATGAGAAAGTTGTTCCTATTGAAATGATGCCCAGATTCTCAGCCCCCGTTTTCCCAAGTTAAACTGAGGATACATTGAATTTTAAAACTACTGAAATGCAGAGGTTGAGCTAAGTCTGTATCTTGTTTCTTATATGGTAGTTTGATTTTTCAATCACAAGCAGAATAAAATCTTTGAGCATTTCCATGCCTGTAGCAACCCACAGCACAAACATCCTCTGCTGTTTTCCCATGACATGTGTTAAATCTTAACCCTACACTTTCTCTAGGAGTTCGAGATAGTTTATATGGATTTCAGGATAATATTGTAACATAAATGGATATGAAGAATGGGAAAAACACACTTTAAATGACTGTAGTATGAAATATGTATAAAAATATGAAAAACAGTGGAAGGTTAGAACTTTATATATATATATATATATTAGAATTCTATGGATTGAAGAAATGGAAAGAATATGAATAGAAATATCCTAAATGTATAAATGATCATGACTGATACTAAAACTGTATCAGGAGATATTGAAAAATGTAAGAATGAAGGATGGAACTTTGATTTAACTATGGATATATGAACAACAAAACAGGTCTTTGAATATTATAGCAATATGAAAGGGGAGAAAAGGTTAAAATAGGGATAGAAAATAGTGGGGGGAAATAATAATTATATATTAAGATATTAAGATATACAAAAGGACAGAAAGTTGGTTCAAAAGAAAGGGTGATAATAAAAGACATGTATAAATAATATGGAACAATGGAAATGAAATGTAATATTTAGGAATAATAAGACTATGTTTATGTGTACTGAAATATATGTTACCCAGTTACCACTCCATTCATGCATTGATATGCATAAAGAATATAAAAAATAAAAAAAATGATTGGAAAATAGATAGTTTATATGGGAAACCTACAAGGTAGTTCTTGAGTGGTGGTTCGCTCAAAGTCATCCAGTAAGCTTCCGTAGCTGAGAGACAACTTGAACTTCAGACTCTCCACTCCTAATCCCTTCTTGTCTGCATATCTTCTTAAGTCTTCTTTAATTGATTCTCCCTTATTCTGGCATGGTCCAAGGGAAATCTCATGATGTCCAAGGGCTCAGTGATCTGAAATAGAAACAAAAGAGGAAGGACAGTAAATGTCATGTCCATTTTTCTACAGGATCAGTTCAATTTCTGGTGTGTTTTTCTTAAATGCAGAGAAAATTGTTAATGCATACTTTATATTTTATGCAACTCCTTTTAAAAGACAAGCCACAAGCGCTTTTAATACACTTTGTATTAATTTAAAAAAACGGATGGCTAAATATTCAAGTTTTGATCCATCCTTTTCTTTGATGAAAAGCATCTCACCCTTTTCAGAACTATAACCAAACAATGGCCATATTTTATTATCATATCTGGAATAAATTTCTGGAGTAACTTCCTGAATCTCTATCATAACCAGTGGCAAAGAGGTTTTTTACAAGGACATGAAAAGGACATATTTTTCTCTGTTGCATAGTAAGCTTCACCTTCCTGTGGACTATTCCACAATTTAAAAGTGCAGAGAGCCCTTGTCTTCCTTTATACCTGACCTTCAGCTCTTAAAAACTCAATGCAAGCAAGAATTAAATATTATTGGCACAGATAGTGGCCCATTCTTCTGTTTTTTTTTTTACTGTAAAATAGGAACAATGAGAAGACTAATAGTAATACTAAGGCTGCATTACTATTACTATTAGTCTTCTCATGTTCCTATCACCCATCTCCTCCCACTTATGATTGCATGACTGTAACTTTGTTGCTTGTATCCTTACAATTTATATTGATATTGATATTGTTTCCCGATTGCTTATTTGTACCGTATGACTATCATTGATTGTTGTACCTTATGATTCTTGATGGATGTACCTTGTCTTTTTATGTACACTAACAGCATGTGCATCAAAGACAAATACCTGTGTGTCCAATCACACTTGGCCAATAAAGAATTCTATTCTATTCTACTCTAAAATAGGGCAATTTATCAGGACCAACTTACTAGTTGAAGACCAATGCTAGAAGACTCCTTGGGAAGAAGAAGCTCAACCTCCTGCTGTGTGTGTGAAAGATTGCTCCTCCCCCAGCAAGATGTGTTTATGGAGGGGAGGGGTAGGAACTAACCCACTTTAGAATGAACTATTCCTCTCTGAAAATCTAACCACAGAAGAGCTTCTAGATTTAGAAGGCATGTGCCCCTGGAGCAAATGAGAGACAGCTAAAAAAAAGGTTCTTCTGCTTTTATTAGTCCATCTAATCACGGGGAAACAGCCCTTTTGGGGGTGAGAAGTCTCGACCCTACTTACTTAGAAACAGCATTAGAACTGAAGTGGGCTTGAAGAACAAAAACATCTTAAGAAAATGTATTGGAGGCAAAATACCAGGTAAGTTTGCATTTTTATATCCTGATAATCGAGTTGTATTCAGTCATGCATCTTCTATTCTTTATATGCACAAAGGCAAAATTATAAATCCATGTAGAAGCAAGAGATATAACATATATTGCTCATTTTGACTCTAGTGAAAGTAAAATATAATTTCCAGAACTATTGTCTTTTTACAGTACAGTGCTTTGCTTTGGTAACAGGGCTACAAAAGTGATTTTGAAGCAATTAACTCAGGAACAAAGAAAAGAATAGAATTATTTAGCTGGGATCTTATAACTATGTATAATAATGTTTCCTGCTGTAGAGGCTTATCCATGCCCTAGAATTGTGTTGCTCTTTGAAAGAAGTCTCAGACAATTCAATTTGACTTTACTCTACTACTTTGTCCTAAGCATATTTAGCCTCAGATTGCTTTGTCTGTAATTAAGTCTGCCTTCCTAAATATAATTATCCAGTAGGAAAATTCAATGAATTTTTATAATACTAGTTTTATAGTACTACTACTTTCTTCATGCTGAACTAATGTCTGTGCATACTTTGCCTCTCCAGGTTTATTTTAACAATCACTCTGGTTTTGCAGAATATTAATTTTGGAGAAGGTGAGTAGTTTTCCCATAATTTGGTTCCAATTTTGCTTTCTGTAAAATGGTGCACTCTCTTATGTTCTTCTTTCTTTGCATCCCACCAGGCCTTAAAAAAGAAGATGACACTCCTCACTCTGAAGGAATTGTGGATGACATTATTCAAAAGCACAGTGCAAAAGAGAGAGCCACCACATTAAAAGTCTTCAGTGTTATGAATCACAGCTCCGAGTATAAAAAGCAGATCCACTCGAGACCAATTGTACCTTTCACTGGGCTAACAGAAAGTAAGTTATTTTTTTATGGTTATATGCTCCCTAAATCTTGATATCTGAATTTATTATAGCAACAGATTTCTCCAATCTAGTGCCCGTAACACCAGCCAGCTGACATAGGTAGTATTAACATGAACTTAGCAGAGAGGCCTGGGTTCAAATTCTTGTTTTGCCATGAAATGTATTAGCCAGTCCTATCCATAATCATTTTGTACTACCTTTCATTCTAGGCATGAGGTCTTTAGAGCAAGCATTCAGTTTTACTTTTGCCCACCTCTGAGGAATGTGTTAAGGATAAAATATATATTTTACAATAAAAATGCAATAAATGCCCATGAACCAAAATACTAGTGGAGAATCTCATCTTGCAGTATGTCCATTGGAAAATCTGTTTCTCCAAAATAACTTTTTATCTGCCCTGGACAATAGGCAAGGTAGAATGAGATTTTTTTAAAATTGTTTTTTATTCAATTTATGCATTGCCCTGCTCCCAACAAGATGAGATTCTCCACTAGTATTTTGGTTAGTAGAATTTCTGCAGAATTCAACTGCAATCCAGTATAGCCTGTCTTTACACTGCATTGGGCCAAAATGCTATGAAACTTTGTGCTATAAGTTACAATCCTTTGTAGAACCCAGCAAAGGAAGTTTTGGAGCAGTCCAACATTTTATATATGCTAAATTATATTCCACTGAGCCAGTGGTGTATTTTAAAAAAAATCAATACCCAGATGCTGCTCTCTAGACAGTTAATCCTCTGTATGTTTAGAGACCCTAAAACTTTTGCATGTTTAGGATTATAATTCATATGTTTCTTCACTTGGAAATCTAATGGGGGTAACAAATTATGGTACTTTTCTACCAATGTTTCTGTAATGAGCTGTGACAAGTAAGATCCAGTTGCTTACTTCTGGAAAACGTTGATCTCCATGTATCCAGGACAGACCTTTTTAAAAAATACTCATCAGCTCTACAGTTCCATTTGCAATAACTCTTTCTGCCAAGCAAATTAGGAGATAGACATATTGTAGCATAATGTTTTTATTATAGTTAAAACATGAATAGATATAGAATAGGTATATACATTGTATATGATTTTACTTGAAGGTATAGTTTAACTAAAATAAGATAAATCTTTGCAGATTTAGCAAAGGATAATGTTTGTTTTCTTTCCGCTATTTTCAAAAGTAAGTATGGTTATTAACCTTCTGCTAGAAGTGAAAT